AAAGATGTCCGGGATCGCGTAAGTTTCGTGTGAGCATTAAGAAACTTGGACATTCAGAAGTTGAAATGCAAGATGAATGGGGAACATCACAAACATGCGCGAATTGTCAGGAACGTTTTCCAAGGCACACAAAAGATGATCGATTTAAAGTGTGCTACGATTGTAGAGCGAAAAAGATTGATGGCCTGCCAGATTCAGTCGCTGGACTGCCAGATATCATTGTGTCAACGGTCAACAGACGTGTTTTGAGAAGAAAACGTGCAATTATTAAGCGACAAATTATCGATGGCAATCGTGAGGCTGTGAACGAAAAACTTCGGACTGGGCGTTTAATGTCAAAGGTTAAAGTTACCTACAAAAATTGGCCATTAAATGTTGATGATGATGATGTTGTTCCACAAACAGTTACTTGGCACCGAGATATTGTTGCAGCAAAATGCATTATGCTCAAAGGTATGAATCAATTGGAAACAGAATATTCATTATTTAATGTATTTGCTTTAAATTACATAGGACTTTGCCGGATCTTTGATGTACCATTGCCAGTTTCATTGTTAAGACCGCCGGACCAAAACAACAATGTCAACTAACAAACATCATCAATTAATCATACATTCAAAAAATTACATAAAATAAAATATTTTAACTATTATAGTTAGCGTAGCTAGACATGAACAGACTATATAAAGTCTTGTGGTCTAGTTGTACAATAGTACAACATTGTACGGAGGGGGAGTGCGCGTAGGTGAGTAAAGTTTTTAATTTAAAAAAAGTATTTTATACCCAGTTCAACTGATATTAATGGTTGTCTTTCCCTTTTTCCATGTTTTCACACCTGAATGTTCCACCATGCCAAACCTATGGAAATGACTGAAACTACACACGAATCTAACCCCGAAAACGACCGTCAATATGTGCTTCATAATGGATGCATTTGCCCTATCAATTGTTTGCTGGGTAGTCGGTATGCGAATTCAATTGGCGTCTAAGTCAATAGTGTATGGCAACCGGTTTGAAAAAAAAAACAAAACACACCGACAAGTGCCGATGTCATCGAAAAAATACGCTAAAAATGAATTCGTGCTCATTGCGATGCCATCAATCAGTATTCTAAATCAATGTATCAGAATATACATTAATTTAATGTCATTCTGAATACAAATGTTCAATTATCTACATCAAGTTGATCACAGTCTCTACCTCACATTTTGTGGTAATTAAAGTAGTAAATATTTAAAAGAATACTCATTTGAATGGCTTAGAATTTAAATGACCTGAAATTCAATAAAAAAATAAAATGCCAATATTAAATTCTTTTACAACTCCATAAATCAGATCACTTTAATTCTCATCAAAAAGAAGCACAACACACAACCGCAGCTTTTCAATTATTAATGCATACAGTTTTCAGTCATACAACCAAGCGAAATAATATCAGGAAGTCTTTTTGTGTTTGCACTGTAGTTAAAAATCATTGCTAATAAGTAGCTAATAGCTATTAGTAGAGTAGTTTTCATTGATTTTTCCCTTTTCAAAATACTAATTGATAAAAATAGTCTTGAATTAATAATAAAATGTTACCGATAGAAATCAAATCAAATCGACAAAAAGGCCTTTTTCCATTTCAATTGAATTGAAAATCGTCATTTTCTTTTAAATGCATCATAATGAATTTGATGTGTTCCATGTAAATCAGACGGTTCGTAAAAATATTTTATTGTACACGATAAAGAGCAAAGAATAAATATAAATATGTGATTTGATCAATGACAGTATGGATGCGGTTGTCATAAATTTTGATGAATAAAAAAACTATTCTTCTGACAAAGATCATTACTTAGCATTATGCACAAGCAGCATGATAGCTGCATGTGCTATTGTTGTCGAATTGATCATTTTATATGTAACTGTCAGTTCACACAGTTACTAACTGATATTTTTTTTCCATAGTTTGTGATGTGGAATTTTAACCAAAAATTATTTGGAATGCAAATTTTCATGAATAATTTTGATTAAATTTGTAAATCAGTTGACCCATTATGGGCCATTAGGAAATACCAATGTGTGTTTGTTTATCAGTAACTGAGGTTATCGTACATTGGAATTGAATGTAGATAGTAGATCAAAATGCTCATGTCAATCTTAAATATAATCTCAAATACGTATACCTGTATACTTACTAGTATTGTTCGAAGCGAAATGAAATGTATTAATTGACTTCTGACTGGAAATAAATCAACAACTTTTTTTTCGCGGTGTATCAATATTTTATTGATCTGTTAATTGTTTTAAATAGATTATTGGCTTGCAATTGTAAAGAAAACTACACTAATAGTGTTGCTAATATGGAACGACAGAAACATTATTGAAGTCAAATTTAATGACAAAATCGTTTTTTTAATACCACAATTCAAAGAAATATTGGCAAAATGAAGATAAACTACGAAGATCGTAGACAAGTTAATTTTTTTTTAGTTTTAATGTATAGAAGAATGCTTCGGAAAAATAAAAACAGAAGTGTCAGTAACAAGACGCAATCAAAGCGTACGAAGAAGATTAAACGTATTAGTAGGTGTGACGAACAGTAAAAGTAGTCAACGTATACACATACTTTAAAATACGACTACAATCGAAATAAATGCATTCTGATAGCTGAAATAAAAGTCGGTTCTGGGTTTTGAACTTCGAAAAAAAAAATGTTCCAACATTTTTGAGCATACATTAGTCACATTAGTCAATGTTGCTTCTCTAACGAATGCATTTTTTCTTTCTTCTTCTACTCATGTCTTTCAACCATTTCTGCTGTTGTTGCAATGAAATATTCACACATAAACATCTTTCTCATAGTGCAAACGGAGTAGGTTATTGGTTATTTTGTAGTGAAAACCTAGAGTGAAACATACATTAAACACCTACGTTCGAGACTTTCTGTGATTTGAAGAGATTAAACATGAGCAACAAAAGCAGCGTGTGTTCTCTCTCCCTCTATCTGTGTCTCTCTGTGTGTGTATATGTGCAGTCCAGTTTCGATCTTTTGAACTTAAAAGTTTTTCTCTGAGTCATACACAAAGCAGTTACTACTTGTTGGTTGCAATAATTAGCGTTTTTCTATGTAAACGTGCTGTTGTCTTCTTCTCAATCCATTTTCTCTGAGCATAGTCTTATGGATCTTTGTCTGTTTAGACTAGATGGCATTACATATACAGTTCTTATTTCATTTACATTATTACTGTGCGTCTTTTTGTGCAACGTACAATCGTTGTCAATCAAATTACTAGTTACAAAACGTCACCGATTGGTTTGCATTGGTGCACATTGTGAAATGCAAATCATAACACATACCATCATCATACAATAGATCTTAAGATGTAACATCCCGACTTTTTACATATTTCATAGGCGATTGATTGATTTTTTTATGTATGAACGAATGTCTGAAACACTCAAAAACGGAAGTCAAGTAAGGAATTTTCACTGAATAAGTATTTGTGCTTGGTCATTCATTTAAAAAAAAAAACAGATATTTTAATGATGTTTGCCTTATAATTGCGACATATTAGAGAAAATTATATAGTCAATTGGATTAATTTGGCGCTGTTTTATTTTGCAAAATATACATGCACAATTGCACATGGATATATAGATATTGGTAAGTCGTCACTCTTTTTCTGGTTTCTTTCCATTTCGGAAATTTTCTGATGCTGTATAAATCAAGGAACGTAGAAACATTTGACTATAAATGATTTTTCCAACGATATATCCACTGATTATAGAAACGGATGTTGGCTCATGGTTTAAAAGATTAAGTTTGGCACTATCAATTTAAAAAAAAAACCATAGTAGGATGAAAACGTTCATGGCATTGCTAAGCGTTTTAATGCAGCGATATTCATGAACATAATATTTTCTGGTATTAAAATAGATTTGATTTCAAAATATAAAATTATATATATTTTTTTACCAGAATTGCCTTTTACTACCATCAATATAATAATGATACGATCGATTGTTATTCTCATCATATTTGAAGCATTAGACTACGTACATAAGTATATGTGTTATGTGTTGCAATTTATATGAACTTTCAAAGCAATGTAATTAGTCAGAATATGACACATACACATGAGTCCTGCTGTGTGACAACAACTAATAAGACTTTATATAAATCATAGTATATTTTTCTGTCATTCACTACATTAATTATTATGTGTCAATAAATCGATACTATTTCGCTCAAGTTGTCACTCATATTTGTATTGAACATAAAATTATTATTGAAATTCGTAAATAACATCGTTGAATTTTGGTAAGTTGATGTTTGGAACGGTAATAGTCAATGTTGAGTCACTTTTATTCAATAAATATTTTTATTTTGAGAATTTTCCATTATTTGGCCCGAAACCCAAAGGCAACGATGCCACATAATACATAGTGTCGTTGTGTGCCTATCTCTGTGGATATATCAGTTTATCTCATTTGGTTTTTAATTTCATTTTGCTATTTATTTTCATTTATGGCACATTTTGCTTTTTCATGAAATATAGATAACGGTCTTATAACAAACACGTTGGAATGTAATCGTCGTATGAAGGCACATACATAGTGAAGATATACTATTGGTTCTGTCCTCATATTGTTTGACAATGCGCTCCGGTACTCATGTCACACGCGAAACATTCGAAAACGGAGATATCTATACATTTTACAATGGATTTATACATATATTCAATTGGTTTTGACTTATGAGTCACACACATTCCATAAAAAAATATAGCAGCTCATTTGGCGCGTGGTGAAAAAAAAATAATGTTCGATGGTGATTTAAAACAACATTTGGTGGATTTACAGTTAGACATTTTGTGTATTCGTTTCCTTGCAATGGTCATATCGAAGTCATCATTCGGTACGACACGTACAAAGATCAATTGAATTGAACAATGACACACACACACATCAATGAAGATATGATGAGATTGTATATAGCTGTGATTTATACTTACATGATGGTTATTTGTTTATCCAAACGTTTTTGTTCATACACGGAGAAATCCGGTAGATTTCAATACTCTTTTTAGCACTGTTGTCACAACAAATGTTACTAAATCCGCAAATCAAAGGAAGAAAAAATGTTCCTTTATTTCATTAACACGAATCTGATATTCTTTTGTTATTTATTTGTTATTTATCTAATTCTATGTTTGTTTAGTTTTTCTCTCTCTCTCTCAATATTTTAGTAAAGAAGAAAAGAATAAAATAACACCACATTTAATTGCATACAAATGTTTGCTCTTGACCTCGAAACTTAGTATTTTGCACGATCATTGCTAAAATCAAAAGATCGCCTCAATGAGTAACTAAATTATTTCCAGCAAACAGAATATTTCCCGAAAGTATTATGGTATGATATATATTTGATTGCGCCATAGAATAGCAGTAAATATAGTGAAAAAGAGGTGTTGTAACCACAAAACGTCATAGTGAGTTTCACTGAATGATCTCATTTCCCCCGTGTAAGTGTGAATAAGTTTCGATTGTGATTAGGTAAAAAAATATGTATGCGAAGATGAAATGGAATACTAATCAAATATTGGTGTTATTTTATTCACCTCCCTTGGCTTCCTTATCTATGATATTTTTCATGTTTTTTTTTTCTTTCAATAAATTTGATGAACAATGTGATCATTTATCAAGTCGCTGAAATGGATTTTTGTCACCATTGGGCAAACAATATAAACAACGACAATAAAAAAAAATTAAGGTTAAAATAATATACACAATGATCACTCAGTCATTAGATCAGTCACTCGCTTAACACAATAGAGTAAAACTCACATTGAATTGGAAGAGGAGAAAGAAACGTATATACACGCGATTCACACACCTGTTGATACTCGACTAATTTAAGAATTGCTTTGGAGTTGGAGTTAAAATGGCCGATATCGGGAGAACACACGACAACGACGAAGGTAGCGCGACAAACAAAAGCATCGACGACACGATCATCAGGAATGATTTTTAATATGTGTGTTGTGCAAGTGTTGTCTTTGTGCTGTCACACACATACAACCAAATCTATGTACACATAAACAAGTCCATATACAAGCAAAGTCGTACTGGAATTAGTCAATGGATGCCCATATTCACAGATTCCATCGATACATGTGTGTGCCAGAATATTTTTTTTGTTGGTGTTATTGTATGCGTTAGATTCATATGCTGTACAAGCACCTCTCGGTCTTGCTGATCGCTGTTTTTTCTTCTCTTTTTCTTTTTTTGGTTCTTCCATTATATTTGTTCATTGTATTAGTGAATGTTTATGTATGTGTATATCGTACGAAACGCAAATAATTTCTCGAGGTGTGTTTTTCATATTATAGAACTTCGCTTGTGGTTTCGCTGTTTAATGCACAAGATTGCAATCTACACCAGAAAACTATTTTCTAAGGACTTAAAGTACAAATGTCTTTTCAAATAAATTTTTTACAAATAAATATATTGTTTTTTACGTATGCAGTTCGTTTTCATCTGACATGATAGGCGGTTTATTGTTCAAAACTTGTAGTATAAAGTAAATTCAATTTGAATATGTAATAAAAAAAAAATCTAAGCAGCCAAAAATATTCAAAAGACGTTATTCATATATGAATAAGTTGAAAAAACATTTCACTTCATTGTTGAATGAGTACATTCTTCTTGAATTGCATGCTATAAATCTGATTCGGTTGTTAAAGGTTTTGCCATAATAATGAAGTGATACATGGTCAAAATTATAGATGGCGGCAGTAGTATTTTGGAGCTTTCGTACAAAAGCTATTGTATATAAATAATATATTCGAACATTCGACGACTAACACTTTATCAATTATAAAATTATGTTACATAAATAATAAGCAGGACTTCATTTACTTTGTCACTGAGAACTTTTTAAATCTGAATTTGGAAAGTATTTCATAATTTTTTCAAAAAAATTCGATAGCATGTCTGGTTTTGTTTTGCTTTTTTGAACTATTCAAAAGTATATTTAATACAGACCAAATTTTTGAAAAAATATAAAAGGTTTTTTTTTTAAATTTCAATTTCGACGATGAATCACATTTCACGGTTGAGTGTCTTCGTAATGTTCAGAATAAGCTATTAAAATACCAAAAAAATGTACAATTTTTTCAAATTAGAACAACATATTTTCGTTTAGAAGATTTTTCACCAACAACAAAACCAAGGCTAAAACATTTCATAGGGCAGACCCCACTAGAGGTATCTGGCTGGCTTATTACCAAACTGAATTATTTTCTATTCATTTTTTATGTTATTAATTTTTAGCTCCCCAAATAAATAAATATAGATTGAATAGTATTTTACCGTCGGTTAGTTACTGTATTGGTTGCAATGCAACCGCTGCATAAAATACCATTAGTTCTTCAATGCAAGAACGTATCGATACTAAACGACAATGACACCTGATTAATGGTTTCATACCTTTATCCAATTTGTGAGTTTTTTTCTCTTCAAAATTATGTTGTACGAAGACTTTGCGACACTTCTATAAACTCTCGTTGAAAGCATGCTGCAACATGGAGATTAAGAAAGAAAGAGAGAGAGAGAGAGAGAGAGAGAGAGAGAGAGAGAGAGAGAGAGAAGGAAACGGAGGAAGGGAGATTTTTGTACAAACAAATCAAATAGATTCTCAAGAGTGAAATTTATTAGATTGGTACCCTTCATTTCATTACATGGACGTGTGTATATATGTGTGTATGTAGAACTGCATATGAAATTATGGCAACAAACTTCTTCGATGTTATTTGGCCTGGAGGACGTTGTGAACGTGTCTAAAATTCAATTAAAGCAATTTCGACAAAAGGGATTTCGCTGTGATCCAACGAAAAACTTCTGTTAGTCTTTTCTTTTCACAAAACTTTCTGGACATTGTCGTTGTGGGCGTCAAAAATTTAGTCAGTCTATACGGTAGTGTGTCTTAAACAATCCGATCTTTTTAATAGAGACTATTCTCGTTTCTCAATTCGGCTGCAAACGGTATTTCTTCGATGTAAACAACAAAATATATATTTGCACAACTATTTTCAGACCGGCGCTTAAGTCCTGTGGAGATTATTTTACGCTTCAGAGCAGTATGTAGAAAATGTCGGTTCGACTGAAAAGGATGAACATGATAAAAAAACTCATCAAATACAAGAAACGTTTGCATTAATTGAATGCTAAACAGCAAATAGCCGGCGGTGGGTGGGTGGCTGTGTGTGTGTATTTATGTTATAAATGAATAGGCCATTGTATGCACTCGATGCTGAAAACAAACTGAATAGCAAGTTGCGTAAATTATTTGCATTTGGCACATTTTAAATTTTCCTTTTAATTGTCTTGGCTCTCCCTACTTACATGTTTTCTTTCGACAGTGATTTTCATGGGTAATCCGAATCAAAAGATTTGTCTTTAAAATTAAAATTTCCTTGCAAATAAACACAAACGAGCACCACTTATGTTCCCCATAAACTGTTTAAATCGAAAGAAAGGCAAAAAGCGTGTAAAAGTGAACGTAAATGGTTAAGTGACGGTCAAAGAACAAAAAAGGATTGAAAAACGAACACTGGTGAAAATTTCCAGCAATAAAATCGTCGTTCTATTTCAAATTCCTACTGTGTTCTATCTACATCTCTTTTCCATTCGAATATATATTAACCAAGCACAAGTCACATGATATTTGTATTTGGTACTTTAAATATTATGATATTTAATAATTAGGCCCATGCTCACCAAGTCAATTAAATCAGTTGGGGGAAAATATTTTCTCTCTTTAAAACCATTTATTTTATGATCTAAGCCAATAAATAAAACTTTCCCGCTAATAACACAGGTCACATAAAGGACAAGTAATTTGTTAGAAGAAAAAGAAATCAAAAAAAAAAATTATATCTACAGAGTTAAAAAAACGAAAAATGAATATTGGTCACGTGAATCTACTGATTCTCTTAAAAAGTTTGTTGCAATTGTTTTGAAAGGATTACAATATTACATACTGTCAATGTGGGGCAAAACATTTTCAGGTTAACGTCGAAACCGTTTATGTTGTGTTGTTTTCTTAACTAAAATATTCATATTTCAATGATAAATTAAATCGAATTTCCATGAATCGGTTGGTTCTAAAGTTTAAAACAATAAATGTGTTATTATCTATGTTGAAGACAAGACGATGAAGTATGTTTGATGATACTTCACCAAATTACTTTCTTTTGGTTTAAGTTAAAAAAAAAACTAAGATTTCGATTGTCCGGACAGGTAGCGGAATGCAGACAATGCAAAATAATATTTGTATGTGTCGCATTTATCGCTTTGACATTGTTTTCTGCATCATCACAAATAATTTACCTGAAATGAAGGTTCTCACAAACACATTTCCATTGCTCTCCGTTTACGTTTATTTTTATGTCTATGTATGCATATTAAATATATATGGTACTTTATACCTAATTGTTTTTCTCTGAGCTTCTAAAAGAATGCATACATTTATTAATCCTCATGTTCCATCTCATTTGTACTTTGATGTTCATTCCCATAGTCTCGGGCGTGGTAGAAAAAAAATTCACATTCGTTTCACTTGTAACATCAACATATCGGTCATCAGGAATTTGGATTTCAAAGAATACGCATCATATTGAGAGCCTTCTCTGTGTGTCTAGATAAATAAAATTAAAAATATATATTTTTTATTTAAGCATTTCGAATTAGTTTTTGCAACGATATTTGAATCTATCAACACTTTTTTTTGTCTCAGAAAATTAATATTAAATTCATTTGTGTGTAGCAAAAATTTGGTTTCGAATTTAGTTTTCAAGTGTTCTTTATTTTGGTGAAAAGTGATAAACTAACATAAATAAAGCAGAAAAAAATGGAATTTTTCGATTCATTTATATCTGTATTCATCAAATATGATTTTAATATAGAAAATCGAGAATCAGTGATGTCAAAGGTAAGCAGTTTCAAAAAGTTACTGCTATATATTTGTACCATTGGCAAAAAAAAATAATTTTATCAAATGTTCAGTAAAAAAAAATCATACTAATATAATCATCGTCATATTGTAGGAATGGACTGAATGCCGTATGAATGTGAAACCAACACCGGGTTCATATCGAAATGTCCAAATAAATGTCTATCCACAAAACTATAACGAACTGAAGCCACATTTCAGCATTGCCATTGACTATGAGAAAATTCGCAGTGGACACGTTAGATCTTATTCAAGACAGAATGTATACGGAATATTATGGTGCAGTGATGAACATGATATGATGAAAAAGTGCCGAATTTTCATTGCGTTTGAGGATAAAGCGATGCATCAAAAGTTTAGCAAATATTTTAGAAAACTCCTAAAATTTTTCAACATGTACAATAATTGTGAGAACGGTAAGTGAATTTTAATGACACTAACAAGTATATTTAGCCATTTTCATCGGTAATGTCATATAGTGAAAAAAAATAAAAAATAAAACGGGCGCTTTAACGAACATTCTCTTTTTCCAGACGCAGTATACAAAGTTTCCGACAGCGAAAACTTTAACTCATCCGTGTCTAATGAAGCAGAGCAAATAACTGCCAACAACAGTGGTGATGGTATAACAAGTCATACGAACGCATCACCATCATCAGTACAAATTATGCGCATATCTGATGCATCAGGCCACTACGAAGATGTTATTTTACGACCAAAAACTGAGGAAAAGCACCAAAAACAGAACAATAGACGTTTGGCACGGCCATTTGCAGTTATTTCGGGCTTATTTAAGTCACATCGCGAACGTAATAGCACAAATCAAGACGAAAACGACGAAAATTCACAGCACGAACACCACCGACACACAGTTAAACCGAAATCAAAACGACGTTCGTGGAACATTTTTAAATCAAAGAAGAAGAATCGTGATGAATCGCCACTCACATTTCAACATTTTCAGGAACCGTTAAATGTTGAACGTGTTTCATTGCCAATTGGTCCGATTGCAAATGATGCCGAATGGTATGATCTAGGGGCAAATCACTTAAAAATTGCTCGTTTTACGATTATTTTAAATTAATTCGATTTGTTTCTTTTGTGATTCTCCCCTTAGGTATGATTTAAATAAGGAAGAAATGAGTTTATTTGAAGCTCGTATCTCGATGATTGTCAATGAGTTCAATAATAATTGTAACCAAACGGTTGGCGAATCCGAATCGGAATCGATTCATCATTGTGACCTCTCACGTTACCTAACTGTATCCTCCAACATTTTGTGGTCGCACAATCTATCCTTGTCAATAGAATCATCAAATGGTAATGCAAGCTCCGAGTTGTTTTACAATTATATTTCGACTATTTTAAATTAATTCGATTCTTTTCTTTTGTGATTCCCCCCTTAGGTAATGCAAGCAACGTAAATTTACTCGGAGCTAACATAAATAAAGACCAAATTCATAGTAGTGTATACATTGAAGATAACTATAATGACATCAGCAAATCGTTGCCACAACCAGTTAATGCATTAGATACGCTCAACCTGACATTTGTCAGTACAGATTCCGATGGGTATGCTATAAAAATTACTTTTCTATTCTTTCACAATTAATTTTCAAATATTTTCCATTATCATCAATCACATTATCGTAATTTATTTATTGAATTGTAATTTGCATTACATTATGTGATGATGATGATGGTGATGGAAATGAATAAGAATTGTATGATACATCCAGAGTGTGAGCGAGAGTGGCTGCGTGAACGACAGAGTGAATGATGTTTGAAAACCATTAGGAAATAATAAAATGAGTTTTGATCATATATATGTATTACTGAAATTGCTTTAGCATAAATATTGATTATTTTAATTCAGGTCAAGAAAATTACGAAAATATTATTTTCATGGATTTCAACATCTATTTTATCTCAATATTTAAGCAGTGCATTTCATTTAAAATCAATTTTTTACGTGGTGAATGTTGTAGTATGTGATGCAAATGCCTTATTATTCATTAAGATCATTTTATAATTACGCTAAATATTTTTATTCTTTTCTTTTTTCTCCACTTAGGTATGCAATCATGCAACCAATATCGAGCGAAAAATATGTAAAACCGAAGCTCTTAATTGATATGAAATCGGATAGTCCGGCCGACGACTCACAATGCAACGTTTCCGATGATTCGAGTAATATAAGTTCGGGTTTTGGTAGTGATTTCGATGCTTGTTCGCCACAAAAATTATCTGTAAATGCACCAGCAACCAATTCGCCTGCAACTTCTGACTTTTTGGAAGCGTGCCCATCACCGGCAACACCATTAAAAAATATGCATAAAAAGACATTGAAGAGATGTCGCTTACAACTCAAATCGAGAAAACTATTTGGAATGCTAAGGGTAAAACAGTATAGACCATCGAAATCGTACGTGACGCCGTCATCACAAAATGATTCGCCAATATTACCTTCAATACCACCACCACCACAATCAATATCGCCTGAATGCACGAAAAAAATATACAAACGAACACCATTTAAAGTGCATTTATTAAAAGAGGTTGGCGTGAACGAGTCCCTGCATAAGTTGTCTTTGCATCAATCACTTCGTTCGCTACATATCTAAGTCTGTGAAATCTGTCAATGGCATTGGTCGATAGATATATTATTGTTCGATGCCAAAGCGTACGCAAAACATGGAAAATGTGTATGTTAGCTAGTTGTTTGACTGAATGTTGGCTATCCGAATCAATTACAAAGTTTCCAACATCGATTTCAATTTGTATTCAAACCAAAATTTGACATCAACACAATTGTGGTCCTACAAACCGGAAATCAGAATATCATCATTGATTACGTACAAATAAACAAAAAAACGATTCAGTTTGACCGTTGTAAACTTTTATCGAATGAATGTAGAAATAAGAAAATGGACTTAATCCATAGATAATTTAATTTTGAAGCTAAAATTTGTGTCTTACATAAATATATTAAGCGGAATAAAGTTGAAATACATTTTGCCAGAAATAATCTTGCTATGTGCACGAATCCACTATTTCCACTGCTTGTATTTTTAACTCAGAAATATATTCAAATATGTATGTATTTATGTATTTCGTTTTACGAAGATATTCTTGGTTCTTCTTTTCTTTACTTCTCATTCTCTTTGACTATAATTTTTATACATTTGATGTAGCCTTTATCCTTTTCATCTACCTGCAGCTGCAAACTTCATGCAAATTAAATGTTATTTTAGTTTTATTGCACTCATTTTTACTTCTCGGTTCAATTTCAGGACAAAATGGAAACTGAAATTTTAACAATTGTTATCGAAACTGTTTTAGTATTTAGATCGCGTTCATGACATCAGGTAGGTGCACAGATAGTACATTGTCACCTACAGTGAAATGCACTATAATATTATGGTTTATGCTTGCAACATTTATCATGACATTTTGTCATGACTGGTGCTTGTATCCAACGATGAGCGTTTGTACGTTTCTCATACTTTGTAAGAAAAATGTGCGAATCAAAAGGGGGTTGAGAAAGATAAGAAATTTTTTCGGAAGAAATTATTCGAACTTGGTACGGATTTTCCGAAAACATTTTGAAAAATCAACCAACGCCATTGAAAAATATTGCAAACACATTTCTGCAAAAGATATATTTATCAAATATTCCAAAAATTAGTGAATTATGTTCGGCAAAAAACTTTTTTTTCAAAGTACAGAAATTATATTCAATATATTGTTTTAATTTTATTCAAAGATCTTGTTTGTTTACACATCTTCAGATTTGTGTAGGTTGACGCCAAAATAAAACCAACAAATAAATTAATATTGTAGTTTTTTTGTCCAGTTGAAAATGTTCAAATCTGATGTTTGATTTGAATTGTGCATATTCTGAATCTATAATTATATATATTTTGTTCTACTAATCTAAGTAATTGAAAGTTGAGAAATTCTGCGAAAATTTCGGACCCGGTTTCGATTGGAATTTGACTACCTATCCAATTTTCACATGCTTTTCAAAATGTTATAGCCCGAATTGGAATAAAATATCTGCCTATGTGATTAATATATTCAATAAAACACGCCAAAAATTAAGTTTGGTTCCCAGTATGTTATTATATTGGCGCGCCACACACACACACACACATATGATATTAGCAGAAAGATAGCATGGTGTACTGTAAAACTTTGGCGATGAAATAGGGTTAATGCGGGATTATGATGATGCCCATTTCACATAAAATCAATGTTCGGGTTTGTATCGTAAATTTGAATGGAAAGTATTTTTGTTTTAGGGTTTTTTTCGGTGACATTTTTTCATCGCAAATGGATTAATGCAGTTTTTTTTTGCGATAAAATGTTAATATCCTTTGTTGGCTCGCACATAATGAAAGCGGAAAAATTGAAATGGTTTGAATATTGAGTGCAGTCACTGTGTTTGGATTAGTTTGATCGATGTTAAAACCACATTTTCACTCAAATTTAAACAATAAAAACATGCAAATTCACAAATGCATTGATGAATAAGCTATTTAAAATCTAAAGTTTTTTTTCACCTTTGAATGGCCAAAAAAATGATAAAAACCATATATAGTCGGTGAATAGTCATCATTTCGAAATGTTCTAAATTAAAGATGGAATGTGCATCGTGAATATCCATAATTTTCCACAAAAAAAATCAGCTTTTTGAAAATGTCATATGGAACATTTCTAAAAATAGATTTCCTTCTCTTTTTTCTTTTGGAAATGCGACATTAGCACCAATTTTTTATGCTCAAGAGCATTTTGTGAATATGCAAAGCATTCTTTGTACTTTATTGGGTAAATATTATTGCTTATATTACAAGTACAAACTTTCATAACAGATATAAACTCTGTATAATAGCGCTGAATAGTGCCATATTGAGTTCGAGTCTGGTGTCAAATTTTTTTTCAGAAAGCGCTGATTGCATTTTGTAAAATTCATCCAAATACATTGAAGGCGTATCTCGATTGTGGTACAGTAATGTTAAAAAATTATCACGTCCACCCCTCACAACCTATATGAGTGGGTCCGAAAAAACGACTGTAATGTTTTTTTATGAAACGAATTGACCCTTTAGATTTTTCTATATTTTGGCTTTTCGGTATATTTAAAAATATACTCCCGTTGATTCTATCACAGCAAAAAGATGTTAGTTTAAAAAATTAACTAACTATGTTTTAAATGCTTACAAAGTCATATAGATTCAATATTTTTGTGTAGGTAAAAACTTGAATCGATTTATTATTTTATTACACTATTGTAAAAAAGAAAGAATAGAAAAAAATTCATTCTATTGAACAAAAAGTTCTTTCAACTATGCCAAATTGAATATTTATTCAATGTTTTCACTCTATCCACGCGTGTTATTCATACAGATCTCATAAAAAACAGTTTAATAAAGTAACTCAAATAAGCCTTAATCGAAAATTGAAGTTTTGAATGAAATCTAAAAACAGAGAAAAATTTTGTCTAATTGTAGAACAATGAAATAAATCTCTGAAAATTTGAAAAATCGTAGCATTTCTTCTTCGTTCCTTTTGAACAAAACAAAAATGTGCGCAAATGATTTTTTTGTGTTTTATTTTCGTTTAAATCAAATTTGGAATATTTTCAATACAAAAACGCGTTTAAATGAGCAGTAAATAATTTGCTACACAAATGGTGTATCTGAGGTGCACCTAATGAGTTCTGTGCCTAATGAAATGCCATAATTATTTTGAAGCGGGTATTGTACGCAGGGCGTGTATACAAAATACCGGAATGGGGTGAAATTATTTTGCACAATTATTGCCGTGATTGTATATATCCATCGTTTTGCCATAATTTGAAAATGTGTGGAAGCAGTTTTGGAGGATTAATGAGCATGTACTTTGTTCACTGAAACGATTCTCACAATAGAAGAAAATTTATTTCATACACCCACACCCACATCTATATGGAACTTGACTTGTTCACTTATTTTGTAGTTGATTGCTTGCATCTGAACTTGCACGTCATTTTCACCGTCTTTATGGACGAATAAATGAATGATTAACTATACAATTCTATTGGCAAGATAATGAAATGGGAAACGAGTTTCACAATGAAAGACCACTAATTTTTCTTACGGAGAGAACTCATCTTAAGAGCTGTGCTGTAAATCAATTGGCAATCTCGCGAATTATCCACCATAATTAACATTTTTTTTTCTCTACCGATAATGTATTCTCTATGAAGCGTACGGCACTTTGTTTGGGAATGTGAAAAATTACCTTCATCTATTTCGACTGCCATTCGATTTTTCCTCCGAATGTACAGTAGTGAATAGCAGTAAGTAGTCAGGCATTCGATTTTATTAAGCATATCCACTTATATAATTGAGAACAGATTTTTCAGTACAACTTCATTTCGATGGTTTTTATTTCGATACGTGCAATTCAAATGTATTGCAAACGCACAAATGGCAAATGAAAATATCAAAGGATTATTTAGACATGCAAATACGCTGAAAGTGAAGCAACAACGAAATGTTTTCTCTGTGTGTATGTTTGTCTCAAGAGCGTATTTGAATATATCGATTTCTTTTTAAGGATGCCGATTTTCGTTCAAATTACTTGCACTTATGTGTGGTGGATGTAATAGTGGGGCTAAGGCCACTCGTATTACGTAATTCGCCATTTCGGTGCACTGAGTTTCAAATACATTCCATTCGATTTGATAATTGACGATTATCGTTTCAATTTTATCTACCGTCTTATGAGACCCTCCCTTCAAACCATTGAATCAATTTATCGTAAATTTGGTTTCTATATATTTTCTGCTCCTTTTATGTTTGTTCGTTTGTGAATCTATTTATTTGAATGACTGCATGAAATTTTGACATGATCGGAATGTGAATGACAGAGAATCAAGGTCTGAATCTGAAATCGAATGATTATATAAGGATGCCAGATTTTTTTGTGGGGATTCGAACTGTGCGCATCAGGGCGAATTATCTCAAAATCTGCGCAAAGTCCGGTTATTCAGACCCGAGAAAAAAAAATCAGTTTCTGTGTTTATAACACTTTTATAGCACTTTAAACAATGGTTTTGATTGTTTTGAAAATTGGAATTTTGTCAATAGTATTTTTGAGTTTTTTTAAAGAATTATAAACCAAAATTATAGAAAAAAAGATTTCATGCCTAAAAAAGTAATGCATTAAAGGGTTAAAATCCGTCGTCCCAGTTTTGCTTTGAAGATCTCGGCGATCGGTGATTATATTATTATTATCGACCTTTGAGATTATTTCCGACAACTTTATTTTGTATTAGCATGCATCAAAACAAACAACATTCGAACAGAGTATATCGATGAGTTGTCCCTCCGTTCAAATCAATTGGAATACTCTCAATGGACGTGTTATAAAACCAAGTAGTATTTAGTCACATTGCCATCATATGAATGTTATTGCTCTTTCAAACAACGAAACTACCAAGACGGACGGACAGCTATACGATATTGTATTGCCTAATTGGTATCACTCTCTAACATTAATTTTCTTTACAAAATGTAAAATTGTGGATAGTCAACTAAACATCACACATGTATCGTATGTTCCGTTTGCTTCTTTCTCTCGCATTCCCAGTATTATATTTATATTTAGAGTGAGATAAATAGTAGGAGTATGTAACGCAAAAATACAGAAAAAAAATAACCAACTGAAACCCAGTTACATACAAACACTTTTAACGTAACACAATTCAAACGCAATTAATACACAGTCTCTGTAACTAATGTATTTATAACTAAATAACAAGAACAAGAAACATTTGCAGCATAATTCGAATGCATTAAATGTAATTGTTCCCATACATATATATGTATACATATAAATGCTCAGTGATGATGAC